AGCGATGTGGCATAGTGGTTAACATTCTAAACGTATACATTCTACTGCATTGGCTCGAGTCCCCCTGGGGGGGGAATTAGAATACCAGTCCTTTTTATCACCTTAAACGAAATTGGCTCAATGCTCTTCATATTAATAATGTACCGGTATTTTTAAAACTCTACTGTTAAACGAAAAATATCGGTAATTAAATTGCTGATAGACTCGAAAGCTACTCACATCGAAATTAAGTAACGTCGCCGATTACAATGGTGATCCCATGTCTGTCTACTCCTCTCATCATCGGCAACTACCCCTAAGCAACCTGGGCTGATAAGTCTTACTTTTAGTTCATCACTACACTGACTAATTCACTGTCATTAAAAGGCCAGCCTGTTAGGTCAGAGGGCCTGGCTACTTCCACTCCACATTTGGGATCTCCTTGACGTATTCTCATCCAACAGGGATGCTTGTTCGTAGGTGTGAAGATCAGGATGATGTGTTGAAAGCCTAATTATAAAATCAAAATGATGTAGCCATTCGAGTGCTACAGCAAATAAACATTTGCTTCATCGAAAATCCCACAACACAAAGTGATACAGGAAAGGCCTTCCTTGACATTCTCGTCTACCCTATGATACAAAGTAATTCGTGGCAGTGGGGCATAGTGGTTAACGTGGTTATGCATACACTGTGCTACCGCGACTGGGGTTCGAGTCCTGCCGGGGTGCTGATGAGACCAGTTTAGGTGAGGTCTAAACTGCAGTCCATTAGAGTCGGGATGAGAATATCTTTTGGGAGGCAAAGTTATTTGAAATTTAATATGAATATGAGGCCTAATCACATCAATTTGGGAAAATTTAGCGAAATAGGATGAATAAGTTTTGAAGAATATACCTTGTTCAGTGTCCTGTGTCAATAATCTCATGATTTTCAATTGCTAAGCTCATCCTTTTTCCCGTAACAATATGTGATGAAGAGATTCCTCTTGGTCAGCTGTTGGTTCGCTTTATTGGAATATTCTGGTCTCTTAGGCAATATCATTCGATTCCAGTGAATGCGTGCTTGCCTTCCGTCAGAACGGAACATTCTTATTACAATCACATTAAAGCTGATGCGACTAGAAATCTCACTGGCATTTCCCTACATTCCATATCTATACTCTGAGCCTATGTATCTCAATGTGGTATAAAGTGATTTGGTTTGTTCAAGTCACATGTCATTCTAGAAGCACATACGTGTTTTCGTTTTTGCGTGCGTATGTGCCTTGATGGGTGTGTCAACAAAAATACTCCACTAAAACCAAGAGGAGTTGGCAGTCGTCTTCTGGTGCGATAGATTTTCAGACGTCAGCATCGCACACTTTTACTCGAAATGCAAGTCAGCTCAACCACTTAAAACAAAGGGACTCCTCGAATCTCGTCTTTTCTTCTCGTGATTTTGTCTAGCGCCAGAACATTTTGTAAGTGCGTTGCTAAGATTATTTGAATTCACCAGATCGCTTATCTTCGACTTAGCCTTTTGAATGTCTAATCTCCAGAGGAACTTTATAGACGGCTGTGTGTGATATTCGGTATAAAAAAGAGAATATTATATTTTCTGTTAATGATAGGCCCAGACGATGTCGTGTGTAAGATGGAACTAGGAAGCTGACATTATTTAGCTCTTCATCAAATTAATAAATATGAATCACCCAGATGTTGTAGTCTCTATTTTGGTCGGTGTCTCCTTTCGCTGTATAGAAGTGGTTTGGCCTCATTTTCGCAACTGGTTCGTGTTTTAAGGGGGTCTATATGAAAGTTGCAGTTATGATTATTTTCAGCCTCAGACCTTCGATTTCCTTCATTCCCAGAAGTTTCGATGCTATTGCGGTCTCCATCGTCAGTGAGTAGTATCAATTGTAGCACCAACCTACAATTGTTCGTTTATAAGTAGGGCGTCATGACTATCAGTAAAGCAGTTCTATAAGATGTATTCACCCGATTTAATTTGAGGTTGAAATTGCTATGTGAAATTAGATGGAAGCGTCAGCTCGACTTATGTCATTGTGGGAAGATTCTACTATCCGTCCTTCAACACCTTAAACGAAATATGGTGAACGTAACCTAAAATGTGCTTATTCCTTGACCAACTCTCTGACAAACACTTGCGTAATCACTCTTCATACTGTCCTAGTATGTTTACATTCCCCTTGAACTCGCACTTCTAACTTATTTATCCTCTTTCCCTTTATAAGCAGGACTTTGAAAATACCAGTAGATCTGAACTAATTTGTTCAAGGGTATGAAGGACAGTTAGTCGAATTGATTCCCCAAAGGAATCCTCATCCAGACTGAAGGCGACTGTAGTCTCGACTCCGCCTCGGTCTCAGCCACACTCCAGCGGGGCTCGAATCCAGATAGTGCAGCTTATAGTTTTCACACGTTGCCCACTAGGCCACACTACTATGAGTGCCTTTGGGTGAACTCAGCTCCTATTCAAGATCTACTGGTAGTCTCGAAAGCCTACTTAGAATGTAGAATAAATGAAAAGACAACTTTGCTTCATTGTCAATCCCAAAAAGGAGGTCATATGGAACTTTGATAAGTTGTAACTCTGTATTAAAGATGGCGCCTCTTTATGACGATGCCGGAGAAACGTTTGGTGATGTACCAACTCGATGTTCCGAAGCTGTAAATCACGAATACTATGATATAAGAGACAGGACTAGGTACATTCCACAAGGTCTCTCTGACGCTGCGACCAAGTTGAAAATACAAGTTAAAACCAGAATTATAAGGCTAAAAGAGACTGCCATCAAACAGAAGACCACACCATCTTGGTCTTCATATCAACGATATGGGAACGACCTGGCCTACCTTGAAATTCACTTCTAGCCTGTGACCCGACTGACTGTGTGGCAGAGTGGTTAACGCGTCGAGGCTATAGGTTGCACTACCACGACCCTGGTTCGAGTCCCGCTTGTTCAAACTATTGTGGAATAATTTAACTGTCAGTCGTTCATTTCTATAAATGAACTCTTTAGTGAATATCTCACACTAGATTTCCTTATCTGCTCTCTTGATTCATCAAAATTGATGCTCCGACTTGAAATTTTCTGTCTGTAAACTACGAAGCAGGCGATACGTCTGGGAGCATACCAAGTCCATGGTCCGAGGCTGGGGATTGTCATGGCTACAAGGGCAGATGACTCTGGACAGAGTGTATTCATCTGGGTCGCCCTAGCAGCACGACCAAGTTGTGTAAACAAGCTCTAACCTCTTTTTCGTCATAAGTTTGACATTGCATGGCAACCTGTCGAGGTGCAAGAGCAACACACTTTCGTGTTTGGCACGACTTCCCTCGATCTCTCCGCATGCCTAGAGGCGAGAGGCGACAGAAAAAGAAGATGTACCGTTCCCGTTGCAATGCGGTATTCTATCAACTGGGGAATCGGATCTTTAAAGGTCGTTGGTGGCTGTTTACTTCTGCAAGCCGGCAGCTTCCCCTTCCTCCCATCCACCCTGTCCGTAGCCTTTTGCCTACGCGACTCGAGCTCATAATCCGGCTGGTCGACCCTGCGATTCAGGTAGCCGAGTAGGTACAACATGTGGTCCGGGCTTCTTCAGGTGCACGGTCTTTCACACGTGGACAGCCGTCTTCTTCTCCACCTCCGGTCCGACGCTGGACGGTGTGAAGGAGGCGAGTTGAGGTGTCGGGCTTGGGAGGAGGATCCCTTCGGGCCGGACAGACACGCATGGGCGACACTTGTACAGGACAAATCCATTCAAGTGGCCCCGATTCTCCAGCATTCTTGGAGAGTCTGTATCATGGCCGGGACGCTCATTCATCACTATTTATTTATCGTCTCCGCATCCCCCTTCTCCGTCCTGGCTTCATCTGGGCACAAATGAACATAACAGCCACACACTCACACAAGTTCGGCATGAATAAACGCCTGGATCGTGGTCAGGATGGATCTGTTTGCCAACAATGCAGACATACTGACTTAAGTACCCTGACATGTACTCTTTGGGTAGCAGAAGCGTTTGACCCCCGCCTCCTCGCCTCCCCGACCGATGAGTTCTTGAGGCTTTCTGTCAGCTGACATGCCCAAGTACCCAGCCTGACAGGTTTGGATGATTATGGGCCGAATCCCAACTTCAAGTAGTCCACTTTTGACCAGACTCTTCTCCCTGCCTCGAAGGATCGTAATTTATTTTTAGCATGTCAGTATGCTAGCGAAAGGTGTGTGTTTCTCTCATCTTCCGGGCATGTGTGTGTTTGTGTGGATGCTTTCATTCCTATATTCATATAAACCTGATCTTTGACATGTGCTCGGTTGTAGGTGTGTATGAGTGTGGTCAACAGTTTATCGTGGGCTCTTTTAAATGCCACTGTAACGAGAAGAGGCTACTTAGAATGGAATGGTCAATTGGGGTTGAAGCATGAGAAGGGCGGAGCTTCTAACACGTGGATCTCATGGCCGACCCAGACACTTATGAGACAAATTCTGCCATGAACTGGTTGGTTTTTGGCGAGTACAAGAGCTCTGAAAAATGTCCCAAAGCCTCATCTGCCACGTGAACCCTGCCTCCGGCTCTTGTGCTTTGCGCATAGTCGGACTCTTGAGACTGTGAGTTTTGGAGGCGGCGATATCTGCAGACTGAGCGAGAAGAGGTGATTTCACCGGAATAGGGTCACGAAACACGGAATCCTCAGAAAAGATATGTCGGACCAGGTAGAAACGTATCCGTATCACTGTGAACTGTTAAAGGAGGGTCAATCGAGGCTCAAGTCCAGGTAGCACATTTCACGAGGTATCGTGAAAACACCTCGGAAACCTCATTTTAAGAGGATATTTTAATGAGAAAAAGACTGGTCGTTGCCATACAACGGTCAATTGTCCAAAGCCCGTCAAAATTGTCTCCTCATCCGCCTCGCCTGTGTCGAACCCTGATTAAGCGGCGTTGTAGGTGGTAAGGTTGGCTTCTGCCCCACATGACGGTATGAACTCCACACAGTCACCACTTTAGCACAGAAGGATCAGGAAGGCAATTTGTATTTAGAAGTAGGTTCTCGCGATTATAAGTTGATACTAAATTACAGTTGTATTCACCACATTTCATTTGAGAAGATTATGGATGACTGGTAGTTGAATTGTGCAATTATGGTATGAGTAGGCTCAATATTTCCATTGAATTTCCCACAGCTTTGCTTTCCAGAATGAATTTGACTATAGTGTTGGCTTTTCATGGGTCTCATCAACACCACCAACATGATTCGAGTCTGGGTTGCGTTCGTATGGTTCCGTCACGTTAATTACTACGCCACACTGTCATGATTGCCCTTGGGTGGAAGGGCAGAAGTGAATTTTTATAAAAACATAAGGCTTTCTCATTCACATTTATTTGGTGAATACAGCTCTTATACAAGATCAATTGGTAGTCTACTAACCTAATTATAAATGAAGAAAAGTAATATGAAATGTATTCCCCCTATTTAGTTTAAGGTGATGAAGGACTGGTAGTTGCATTTTTCCGTAATTATATCATCACCCATATCAATGTATGAAAAATCAACTACCAGTTCTTTATCACCTTAAACGAAATAGGGTGGATACATATCATATAAGTGATTTACTGGTAGTCT